GCCGCCCGCGCGCTCCCACCTGCAAGGCAAGGCAGCGTCGTCACCCGGGAGGGAGCGGAGGGTTTCCGCGCTGAAAAGGCTGATTTTTCTCATTCCTCTCGCTCTCCGCTAAAATCCCATTCGGAGCTCCAGGAGGGCTGGAGGGCCCAGCTGCACCCGGGAAGTCCATCCGAGCTGGTCCTCGGGCGGTATCAGCGTCACGCGCGCTGGCCATGAGTGTGGGCAGAGGAACCACAGCTGCTCAAGGTAGGGGTGCTGGTCCGGACCGAGGATGGGACCAGGGCTCGGGGGCCTCCCTCCCTTCTTCCCGGCCATGTGCAGCATTTCTCGCTCCTTTCCCTCCTCCCTTCACAGCAAGTTCACTGCCTTTCTCCCGGTGCCAAAGAGCCTGTGACATGCGGCTCTTGGCCCCTCACTGTGGGGCCTGGACAGCCCCCGGCACACGCCGGTGTCCGCGTTACCTGGCAGCTCTGCCCTCTTCTGCAAAGGGACCGCTTGGGGACAAGACCAGCGGCTGGGCCCTGCTCAGGGCGCTCGCGGGTGCAGAGGTCTCTCGCCCCGTCCCTCCCGCAGCATCGCTGTTAATCATCAAGCTGGACAAACTTTGCGACAGCCCTTCTGGGTTGGGCTGTGCGGCTCCATGCGGGGTCTTTCCTTCCCTCCAGGCACGAGGCAACAGTGTGAGCTGGGCAGGAGCCGTGCTCTCCTCCGGCAGCGGCAAGAGGAACCGCGGCTTCCCTTCCCTTCCCTTCCCTTCCCTTCGCTGGATCTCAGTTAACAGCCCCGATACCGATTGCGGGTTCGCGGGGGTAAATCCAGAGTGATCCACGTCGCCGGCTCTGCGCCGCTGCGGCTTGAGCTGGATTTGGCACCTTCCCACTAGCTCGGGAGCTCTCAGCGTGCGGCTCCGCTCGCTGTCAGCTCGGATTAGGCCCCGCAGGAGCGCCGGGGGCTCCCCCTGCGCCGCCGGGGCCGCTAGTGACGTCGCCCAGCCACTTTCCTGTGATTTATTTATACCAGCTCAGGCAGCGGGTGCTGCAGCGGTGGCGGGGAGCAGCCGTGCGCATTAAAAAATAACATCCCTGCTCCTCTCGCCCAGGCTTTGAAAGCAAGATGAAGGGAAGGGAGCACGGCCTCGCACCCGCACGCACGCAGCCTTGGAAGGGAAAGGCGCCCAAATGGCAGCGCTCGGGCTACTGCCGGGGTGGTGGGTCTAGGGATAAGGGAATTGCCAGTTCGCTGCTCTGTCCAGGACATGGAGAAGTGACATTGTCGCCTCCCTGCCACCTTCTGCCCCTGGTTTGCTTGGAGGAAGCTGGGCTAAGGAGGGTGCTGGCGAGGTGACTCCTATGGACTCATGTTCCAGCTGACCTGAGCTTCCCAGGTCCCTGGGGAATGCCTGGAGTGTGGAACTCAGGAAAATGATGCTGAGAATTGCCCGTTCCAAAAAGACAGGAGAACTGCAAGGGTTTTAGATTAATCCCCTTTAAATGAAAACTCCCTCAGCTTTTGTTAATGAGCGATGTTTCCTCGTTTGCATGTATTGCCACTACAAGAGCTGCTGCCCTTTCTGCACAGGGCTCCTCCTAAGTCCGCAGCAGCTTTCTCTGTTAGCTCTCGCAGCAAAAACCCAGCTCCTAATTTTCACCTTCTCTGGGAAAGAGGGAGGAAGAGGAACTGGACTGCGCTAAAACGTAGGCGAAATACTTGCTTGCATTATCTTTCATTAACTTTTTAATTAAAGCAATTCGGCAGGCAAGGAGCCAAGGCCAGAGGAAGACAGAAACCATCCAGCCCCAGGGGCAGAGACGTGGGGAGCTGCCAGGTAAATGGGACGGTGGCGGGAGCCAGCGGCACGGACACAGGCAGGCACAGCCTGCGCCGCGGGCTTGGCCCCACGCTGCGGGGGAAGACAGTGCACAAATGAGCTACGCAAGGAGAAAAATGAGCCAGCCCTTCGCTCCGCAGCGGGCAGCCGAAAGGCAGAAAAACGCTCCCTTCCAGGGGCCAGCCTGCCACGCTGGGCAGAGCCCAGCTACTCCTGGTGCCCTGTTCGGAGGTTTTTTTCCATGAGTTTATATCATAGGCTTGTATTTTTTTTAAGACAAAGCAATTGGGCTTGTTGCAGGCTGATCTGATCACATATCCCCAAAGGAACCTGTGCTGCAAGGTCTGAGGATGTTGAATATTAATGCTCTGGGAAGCCTAACTTAGGTGATATCTTCATGACTCTAAGTTAGTTTCCAGCTAACGTCACTGGGATTTCTCTGGATTTTCCCCCGTGTGCCAGTGATTGGTGCTGGGTCCACCATGCACAGAGCCCCAAATCCCTGAGGGCACCAGAAAGAAAAACTCGAGATGACTTTGGACCAAGCCCCAGTTGTTCAAGCATAATTTGAGCTCATGGTGTAGAAGACCGATTACATCCCTATTACAGAGCTAAAATAGCAGTTACAGCAAGTCTTAGCAGAGTCTCCTGCTACTCATTTTTCTTGCTACATGACTTTCTTCAGGCCTCTTGGTACCTAAATTACCATTAAACTCACCAAGGCTTAACTCTTCCATTTTTCATGCATTATCAAGGGAGTTTACCTATGAAGTACAACAGAGCTCAGATTCTACTGCATTTAACTCCCATGTTCGCACTTGCTGACACGTCTTTTCGATCCCTCGATATATCAACTTTAATTTGCCTGGTGAGCCTTGCTCAAAATCAAGCTTGCTGCCCCAAACGGTCCCAAAAGCATTTTGGGAAAGTTTGCCAGGAGATGCGCAGGACCCAGGAGGAAAACAAGCAGAGGAAGGTTTGTTCCAAGTGACTATTCCAGGAGGATTAGGTGGGGGATTTTTCAAGACTAATCTCTTTAAATGAAAATTTTAGAATTTGATTATTTTTTTAATCCCCACACGGATTTGCATAAAATTACCATGCGGTTTTATTCACACTTTATAAAAGATAAAATACCTGCAGGTGAGATGCACCAACTGATCACTGCTCTGATATGAGGAATTCTGTGCACAACCGGTGCGCAGGGACGGGGACAAGGACGGGGACAATTCCGTTCTCCTCGGGTCACCACGGCACTCCTGCAGCAGTCACTGGGAAGGAGAAGGACATAGACAGAAGTGGCATGATTAGACAAGAGCTCTCCATAGCCGGTCTGCTAGGCGGGCAAGGGAGAAAGGATGGAGTCCGAGCACCTTCGTTCAAGAATATGCTGAGCTTTGGAAACCCAGGAGTCCTAATTTCCTGTTTTCTGTACACTTCTTGGAAAAGAAACATGTTGCTCTTATGACTGATTTACTCACCAGGAAAGAGTCAACAGGGTCTCTTTGCCTTTGATGGGGAATGTAGCCTAAGGCCAGACATAGGGAAGATAAGTGTTCTGTTCAGCATTATATATATATGTATAGATCAGCATCATTAGTAAAAAAAATTAACTGTATTTGACATATGCATCTTACTAGTTTTTCTAGGTCACACTGCCTTCACTCCCAATATACCTTTTGGAAATGATTTTCCCATGTGCTGGGGATTGTAGGGAAGAAGAAAAAAACTAACTAAAAAAATCCTTCTGAAGTTCAGTGCAGAACAGCACTACCCCGAAGCCAAGTCCATGCCAAGTCTCCTTCCTTTTATGCTGCAATTTCTCAAGCTCTCTATTCCGAGTCAAATTGCAATCAAAGTTGACAGTCATTTAAAATACAGAGAAGGATCATAGCATTCTAGAGAAGATGAAAAGTTGCCAGCCTTGAGGACTGGAATAATGGGAAGGGGGTGAAATTCAGTACTGCAGCACACAAGGTCATGCTCTTTGGGATTAATAGCAAAAATTTATGAGCTCTTCAGTTGGAAATGACATAAGAGGAGAAGGAGCCAGGAATATTAATCAGTCACAGGATTACAATTACGGCTGCCTCCTAGGCTGAGGCCTGGCTATGGGAGCAAGGGAGAGTGGTGGGTGTAATCCACCTCGACTTCAGTGAGGTTTGTGACACTGTTCTCATTAGCAAGCGCGGGCTGGGCAAACAGGCTGTTGGACTGGCTAGAAACAGCTCACTCACTGGGCTCAGAGGGCACAAATCAGTGGCTCAGTGTCCAGGTGGCAGCTGCTATCACATGAGGAGGCCCTGAGTCGATCTGGGGGAATCTGGTCTCTCCACAGCTTCTTCGGCGGCCTGGAGGGCAGCATGGGCTGCATCCCCAGTGGCACCCGAGCAGTGTTGTTTAGAACAGCATCTCCCTGAAATTCATGTCCATTATCTGAGCAAATCAAGCACAGAACTGTTTGCATTGCGTAGGTTAGGTTACAACGGTAAGTAATATATAAATGCATAGATAGAATACCTGCATTTAATCAATATCACTCAGGCAGCAATTAAACCTCCTTTCCATTAACTGGTTTTGCAGGGGCATTATCCATAATTCCTACATAATATGACATTTTGCTAGAAGACCCAATTATCCTGCCAATTAAATTCCAGCTTGGTATAAACTGACAAACTAAGTTCCAGTGATTAGGAAGGAAGGCAGAA